GAGAAAGGCGACTGATTCAGTTGGAGAATTACTAGACGAGCCGCTTTCCCTTCTTCCGTCCATCGCGATAACTTTCGGCTTTATCGCTTAATCATGTTGATTTCGCACTCAAATTATTTTTTGTAATATACGTAAAATCTTTAATTGTCTCCCGTCATGGACTGAAACCAGTCCATGACAAAGAAAATTCAGAACACATCTGATAATCGTGGTTAAAATACAGGAATTGCAACTTCTGCAGCGGTTTTTAAAAATGACTGTCTAGTGAATCGTTTTTCTGCAATGGTAATTTCACGTTTGGAGTCAGCTGAGGCGCATCAGGACATCAAAAGTATTAATGACGAGAAAAAAAAAGCTCAGATTAAAAAACGAAGAGATTGCAACACAAATTTTCATATAACATAAAAAACAAAATTATAAACGTATGTTTATATACCTGTTTGTTTGTATGTTTATATATGTTTTTATTACTTGACAGCGCTATTTATAGATTCAGGTATTTTTGTGAGTTTTAAATTGCAAATGACACACAGGATACTCGAATTAAGATCAAAACGTTCCTTTTTTTTTATTAAATAAGTTACCCTTTTTTTTATATTCGATAAAATATTGTTTTATAGAACCTCGCAGACTTTTATGCTCCTTCCATAACAACATCAATCTTGTCGTTATCGATTAGCCAATTTTACGGATGTTGAGAAAAAAAACTGAAGGACGCAGATTTCCGCACTCCATCAGCGAAAATGTTAAGTTAATCGCAATTACTTGCAATTGCACGTACTCGAAATGAAATAATTGACATGGATACGCGAAACGGAAAGATTGAAATAGCATAGTTTAGTAAACAAGTCAATTATCTAACGCTCGCATATGGGTATGTTAGCGGCGCCAGTGATGATGTAATCCAATTTTACATCGCTCGGGAAATGCGTCTGAGAATTTATCAGAAAAAAACGTCACATTTACTGTTTGTTTATGAATTGAAATTGTCTGCTTACGATAGCGCGATCATTGATAGAGTGATTAATCTCTCTTAGTACACACGATTGAAGCATTCGCGTACTCTCCAGTTTCTTTTCTTTAACCGAGTGTATCTGGCTCTCTCAATAATGGCTCTCTTCCTTTTTTTTAAATACACAACAAATATTTTCTAAATATATTAAAGTATACGTAAGAACCGCTCAAGTAACTTTTTGCTACACTTGTAATTAAAACTAATTCAAAACGGACAGTTAAAATATTTCAAGTTTAACATCTTACTCGAATTTCCATTCAAATTTGTGTAATTAACATAAGATGAATACATAGAAGGCAACACGAATATTATGTAAAAAAAAAATTAGTACAAAAAATGTAACATTAACAATTCGTGAAAGCATGTTTTTTTTAAATAAAATTAACATTTACGGTACGTTAAATTAACACGTATTTTATTCAATTTTTAATTCAATTCAATTTAAAATTTATATTAAAAAAAAAAATATTATTTTTATGTTATTTATTCACTTGTTTATAAATTGTGTTATTCTAACACAAATAAATGTTAAATATCAAATTAACATAAAATATTTAAGTAACATAATTACATATTGTTAAATTAATACCCGAACATGTTAAAAATGTAGCACAAAATGTCCACGAGCACTCGAATGGACCGTTTCGAACACAGATACAAAATATTATTTACCAAGAACCGGAAAGTGATCGCGTGTGCGACAGTAATACTTAGAAATTCACGCGTAATTTGCGTCACGTTAGGAGATTAAAAAGCGCAATGTACTCGCGGATCGTTCTGTTTACTCGTTTTAGCGGTACACGTCATGTGTGCGAGATGCATAGAACGAAATATATCCCACTGAATGAATCCAAGGTCGTAGCGATTCTCCGTCATCGCACTTGAATCATCTAACGTCAAGCGCGCCGTAAACACAATATTTTCAGAAATTCTCTTTGCGAGACTAATTGCGTTTCGTATTTTAAACCCACGTACTGCGTCACGCGGGTCACGCCTCTTCCTCCTCGAGAAGCGACTTTAAATTCGGATTCTCTCAGCAATGTTTTGACACTTCGCGATGCCGCGATTTCCCAGGCACGTGTCAGCCGTTTATTTCAAGGATGTCGGCTTCTTAATCGATACGGTACATTTGAGTCTCTCACAGCCGCGTTCGAAGTCGACTCTTTATTTCAGTCTGCTGGATTCCGACACGTGTCGAAGTGAAAATTAAATCTCGCTCAAACGAGACGTACGTTTAAAAAAAAAAAAACTGGTCGATTGAATTATCTCTATTTAACTACTTTGGTAACTAAATTTAAGGTAATTGTTACAAGATGCGTGTGAATGTATGTTTTTCCTCGTCATCGAAGTAACATTCACGCAGGAGACACACACACGGATGAATTTAGCACTTTTTCGATGTAATTAATATTTCGTCAGGTTTTAATCGACTCGATAAAAAAAGCTATTTCGTAACTCTTTTCTCTTTTCAATCGCTAAATTTTTGTCGCACCGGTGGATTAGTAGATTAGCAAAAATCGATTCGCGTCGCTATCAAAATAAACGACAGCGGACGAGCGCAACACGGGGACAGAGGAATTGGAGCACTAATTGTCGGAAGGCTTCCTTTGCCCTGAAACACCCAGTAGGGTGGTATATCCCTTCGATAATCTCGGAACGTCGTCGCGTTGCCGCCAAAGATACGGCGGAAGAAGAGGAAGCGCCCGAACTTGTCCGTGCGACCTAATTAGATAAAACTCGGTCGATACTTTGAGAATTTTTGCTCGCACGCCAGTATCAATCTTCGCTCTAATTAAACGTTCCCGATTTTACGGAGGCGGCCAATTACCACGTTCGCACGGTATACCCAAACGAGAGCCTGAATCGTTGAATACCGCGCGCGCGGCGAAACATTTTCCAACGTGGAAATTTTCCCGCCTTTTTACGATCATCCTCAGCGTCGGGACCGTTAACTTTAACCGTAGTTTAACTGATCGTTTGTCCCTCGCTCTGAAACTGAAATTAGACGGGAGGGATCGTTCGAGAACTAAAGGTAAAGTTAATTTTCGCGCGAGATTAATCTCAACTATAATTTGCAGCCTCGTTAAAAATGTCTTCGATAGTTCGAAAGTCCAAAGCCGCGCGACACGTCGACTTCGCTTGAAATTATATTGCGACATCGAGAAACACGCCCCCAAATTTATCCTATCCGCTTCTAATTTCACCGAGACTTGGCAGGGTTTTCGCGCATTGACGCTGACCGACGACGTCAACTCGCGGTGTATCGAACGTCGCGCGAAACACACGACCGCGCGTTCCAACTCTAGAACGTTCTTATTCTCCAGATTTTAAGCAATGACGTCGTCGAGATGTGTCGCGCGCGCACCCCGCTTTAATCTACGCCGTCGATCCTCCTCCGCACTGTTATGCACTTGAAGCGTCGTCCTTGACCTACGTTTCGCGAAAGAGAGGATTGTCGGCCGCGATGCTTATTATTTCGTCCCGACAAGCAAGTTCGGAGAAGCAATAACGCCTCCGGCATCACGTCTTTCCTTCGTTCGGAAGTTTCGAAATCGAAGTCGCGAATCGACGCGAAAATTGTTATTGACACGCAGAATTAATCCTCCAGCGACGAATCGTTTGGACCCAGAGCGACCATTTTTCAACGACGATATGGACTATGAAGTGTCTAAAAATTTAGCTAGGAACGGATCTGAAAATAATGTTCTCGGACTGGATCGAAGTAATTAGATAGAAATTTCAAGCATTGTGAGAAATTCATATCTTAACAACCAGTTGGAGCGTCCTGTGTAATTATTTTGATGGTCCAACAAAATTGTGTTCAGACCCGTAAATTTGGTCTTTGGATATCTTCAAACTAAATCGTCCTTTCCGTTGACATCAATCGCCGGAGATTCACTTGCCCTTCCCGTACTTCAACCGCGACGCTTTAGAATTTAGAACTCGGGTGTAGGTTTTCATAGCTGTAATTAAAGGCGGGATGTATCTATTAGCGTGGAACACGAGTAGGCATCTCAGTTGTTTTTTCCTCCCCCCCCCCCCC